ATTTTAATTGGAAGGATATTAATTGCTCACGGTTGGGCCATGCTAATATGGTAAAAATTAAAATGTTATCTAAATTAATTTATGGGTTGAGTGCCAGATCAATCAAGCTACCAGAGGATCACTTTAAAGAACTAGACAAAATAATAAAAACAGTCATCTAGGGAAACAAAAGGTTAAGAATCACGAGGGAGATAATGGGGGGAAAGATGGAAAGTAAAGGGACCAAGTCAGGTCTCAAACTAGACTACAAAACAGTAATTAGTAAAATAATTTGATACTGCTTTAAGAAAAATGAAAAGTTAATTAATAAAATTGCATAGGTACGCAAAATCCAGAAGCAATCAAATATGTAGCATAGGTTTGATGAACCCAAGATGCCAATTATTGAGATAAGGATTCAATTCAACAAAATGCTAGGAAAACTACACAGCAGTGTGTAAGAAATTAGACATAAATCAATATATCGCATCATATACTATAATGCCCTCCAAATGGATACATAACCTAAATATAAAAGGTAGTATCATAAACAAATTAGAAAAGGAGAATTGTTATTATTATATAGGATACTTATTCAAAAATATAAAAACAAGAATCATTCCTCAATGGAATGGTAAAAGGCTAGGAATAGGAAGTTCTCAAAAGAAGAAATGCAAGCTATCAAGCAACCATATGAAAAAATGCTCTAAATCAGTAGTGTAACTTTTGGCTGAAAGGGCCAATTACATAGGATTCTCTCTTCATTGGTGGGGATTAATTACTTGATGCCCCGTGCCTGTGTGAGGGGCAGGCAAAGTTGGTGAGAATGGGAGAGAAGCGAGATTCTGGGCTCTTCTGACTTCTACTGTCAAGAGATGACCTCTGATTCCAAACTCTTTTCAGGGCTCTGAAGGAAGAAAGATTCTGGGAAGAAGTTGACATGTAGTACTTTGATCATGTCCCTATTCCCAGTTTGCTACACTAGAGACTTTAGAGAATTTCCCCTTGGGTGAGATCTGGGACTCTCTCTTTCGGTTCAGCTGAGTTACACTGCTCCCAAGGGAGAACTCATTCACTGTATATTATCGGCTATATATTCTCATATGTATACTTTCTGTGACTTCTGTTTTGCTATTGACTGAGATAAATGTGCTTATTTGCTATCTGTTATGCATGATCACTGTGGAACTGGCTTCTGGTGGGAAGCGGATGGGGGCAAGCCTTGGATAGAAAGCTCAGGACCCTCTTTTCCCCATTAAGAAATAATGATCTGGAGCTATAACTTAAACCTGAAAACTACTTCCCCTCAACTAATAATATTTAAAGGGGCAGATAGATATAATTCTAGCCCAGCACTCCTCTCTCTGAGTACATGGGCAAAACAGTCTCATGTGCACACACAGCCCTTACATTAGTGATACAGAAAGGTGAGTTAAAATAGTTCTGAAGTACTACTTCTTTAAGGAATACAGTAGCCTCCCCAACCACTAAACAAAAAGACTCAAGAAACTTAAAGACAGCTGAGCCACCCTGTCAGAATAAAATCAGCAGTAATGGCCCAAAGCCTCTTTTCCCTCCAGTGGGAAATTTGTGGCCAACTTCTCCTTGTGTTCCTCCGCCAGCACAAGTCAAAAGTAGTCCTCAGACTTGACTTACACCCTAGGTCTAAGTTCCCCTTGCCCCTGCCCCCAGTGCCTAGTCCTGCCTGGCCCAGATAAGAACTTTATAGCTGCTTTTCCCCACATTGGCAGGACCCAGCAGCCTGCTCTGTGTATGCTTATCCTCCCTAACTGCCCTGCACTAGGTGAAAATCCCCCTTCAGTAACTAGGCTTGCTAGGAAGGACTTTCGCTGTCCTCTCCCATCATTGATGCTTTGGTTTTGTCCAGTGGTACTGTGCTTCTTAGGCCAGCTAGTTCTCTTTTTAGAGGTAGGAGCTGTAGCCCAAGACTGCGAGGCAATCTAGTAATCTCGCCTGGGTCCCAAGTTTGTTGTTGTTGTTGTTGTTGTTTTACTTAGGGAATAAAGAGAGTGAGGGCTAAATTGGGAATTACTTATTTACAGCCCCTTCTACCTGACACTAAGACTGTGACTATGGGCAAAGCCCCAAATCATGTGCCCCTCAGCCTTTTCCCCTCAGCGGCATAAGTGGAAGAGATTGCTGCCTTCCCCAGTAAGCTACTTTTGTATTACAAACCTCTGAGTCTGTATTAAGACATCCTCACACTCAGTAGACTTGAAAAGATTAAAGAAAAGGAAAATGACAATTTTTAGAAGGGTTCTAGAAGGCTAGGCACGTTAATGTACTGTTGGTAGACCTAAGAATTATTCTGAGCCTTCTGAAAAACACTTGGAACAGTACCCAAAAGGCAGTCTGTATATCCAAGCCAGAACTAGGAGGTCCCATACAACGGGAGGAATGGCCTCGCTATACAGACTGCCAAAATTTGGAGTTTTTTCTCATTTTTCAAGGCAAGGAAATATCACATGACTTGGGGACAGATACTTAACTTGGAAGAAAAACATCAAGAGGAGAAGGGAGGAGGCTTCTCGGAGCAACAAGAACAGAAATGTTTTGTAACAAGAGCTCATCAGGCTCCCTTCCACAGACTCTCAGGGAGAAGCAAGAGCTGAAGAGACAAGCAACAAGGTATGAGACTTTCTGATTGTGGCTTCCTGAACGGCCGGCTAGGATGCCAGCACTTTGCAGGGAATATGGAGGAACTGATGATCCTTCTTTCCCTTGCTCCTTCTCTCTGCTTCGTCTGGGCATGGCTGGAACCAATTTTCAGGCATATTCCTTTCTTCTGGTATAAATTACAAATGACCAACATAATCTTACTTCTCATAAACATCTGTGGTCAATCCAGACATATACATCTCCTTGTGTCCCTTCGTCCCAGCTCTCAGTGTGTAGCAGGCTCAAGAAAGCTCTTAGTTTGAGACAAGTCACAAGGGCACTTGAACAGGGTAGCTGGAGCTGTTTTATTTCTAGCTCAGCCTGGGAACCCAATCCTTCATCACCCCCATCACCAACATCATCACTGCCCTTCTCTACCAAGAAGAATATATTATGAGCCATTTATCCAGTGTTTTGTGCTAACTATGAACTCAAAAAGTACCCAACAATTTTTAAAATTGATCTTGGAACCATTCATTCCTAAAACATATGTGTATATACACATGTACCTACATATTCATACATACATACATATGTGTGTATACCTATACACATATAGGTATACACATATATATACCTCCACATATGTATATGTGTGTGTATGTATCCCAAAGAGATTAAACAGAGAGAAAAAGAACCCATAGGTATATGTAGCAGAATTTTTTGGTATAGCAAAAAACTGGAAACAATGAGGGTATGCAAATATTGGGGAACAGCTAAACAAATTATGTCATACAAATGCAATATATTATTGGGTTTTTAACAAACGATGAAAGGATGAATACAGGACAATTTCAGAAGACTTACATGAACCAGTGCCTCAACTGCTGAGTCAAGCGAGCCAAACTATGATAACAGTTTAAAGTGGGGAACCTGTGGCCTCAAGGCCACATGTGACCTTCCAGGTTCTTGGGTGCAGCCTTTTGACTGAGTCCAAGTTTTACCGAACAAATCCTTTTATTAAGGGAACTTGTTGTGTAAAGTTTGGATTCAGTGAAAGGGCTGCACTTGAGGTCCGAGAGGGCCACAAGTGGCCTCGAGGTCACAGGTTACCCACTCCTGGTTTATACAATGATTATAGGTACAGAAGGAGACATAATGAGACACAGTCAATGTGTGAATTTGTTTTGCTGAAATACACACCTATATGATTGTTACAAAGAAGGACTTTTACTTTAGAAGGGAGGAGATTGTGGAAGAAGAGGGGGTAGTGATTGTAATAAAAAAAGAAGCATAAAAATGAAACATTTTTAAAATACAGAGAAGAAAGCAAAGGAAATTCAGAAAGGAACACAGATAAGCAAAGCAGTGTTTGTAATACTATGTTAAAGTATATACTTTAAAAAATAAGCTATACCTAACAGAGGTTCATGATTTCCTATTCATCTCTCTTCTTTATGTTCTTTGCATAGAGAAATGATGGTGTTGTTTGTTTAGTTCATAATAAAAAAAATTTAAAACAAACATAAAAGTACATCAGGCTCTAAAACCCTTCTAAAATCCATGACTATATTTATTTTGTATATATTTTCCTTTTTACTCAAAGATTTTAGCAATTATTGAATCATACTAAAATATACGTGACAAATCAATAATAAGGCA